TTCTCCGTGTCTTGTGTATACACAGATTTCTCCTCGACAATCAGCGTCGCATATACACTTCCTTTCTCATACAGTTTCATGTTATTAATGGGAAGATCGTGGTAACCGACGAATCGTCAGTCGACTAAATTCAATTTCCTTGGGCGACAACACTGCGCAGTGACTTTTTCGAGCATTTCTTGTATGTCTTTCCACAGAGTGGACAACTTCCCAAAATATTGTGAGTTCGACTCCCGTCTAGACGTGGATTGCGACACGGCAAAGTTGGGCCGGGAAACCGCGCATGTTTCAGGAAACTTGTCAGACTTCATATGGTGAAATTGGGACGCGGTGACCATTTCACTATTGCAAAAGTCAATGCAGTGCTGTAATCACAGTATTTTTATTGTTGCAGCAACCTCTTGGGAATATTGCCATCTTGGATGGGGTCGTACAATTCGATCTCTTAGCAAGGAATCGAATAGGCATTCGTAAAAATTGCAATTTCTTGCCAATAATTTCAACTCGGTGGTGTAGTTATTAATTGCCTCATCAGAGAGACGTTTCGACCAAAAATATAAATAACTCGGGTTAGTTTCATTTCACTTCGCTTTGCAAAACTCACCGAATGCTTGAAAAGCTCGACCTTCGCCGTCGAAATTCATAGTCTCTAATACGCATTTTGCGTCACCGCCAATCGCGTGTCAGAAGATTGCCAACTGATAATCTGGTGGCTGTTTGAGTAACTGCGTCAGTTTGGCGAAATCCATCACAGACCCTCCAAGGAACTGCTGTGGTTTGCTTCCTGGGTACTATGTCCGCATTACCATGTTAGGATCCGCTTTCGAAATGTACAAATCAGACTGAGCGGCAATAAATACTCTAGTTACACAAAAAATTAAAGCACTATTTATGTGTGTGCACAGAACATTGCAGAGATGCACAGTAGTGGGATTGGCGTTCACCTCCCTTCCGACAGGGCCATCTCAGGCCGCCAAGCAGTCCTCACCGTGGCGTTTAAAATGTGCCCTCTCCCCTAGTTCAGCACAACGTTCGGCCAAACAGCTACCAACTGTTTTTACACTCACACCCAGTATGCGGTGGCAAAGAGGTGGTAGGGCAGTTCTCACGTTTCGCCTCTCGCCACACAGCCCTCATTCGATTTCATGTTGCTGGCCCGGATTCGCTTCCACCTGCATTAGTTAAGGATAAAGCAAAGCAATGACCCAGTTTTAACAGGTCTGGAAGGAGATAGTCCCGGCTAACTGGAGTGAGCCGAATATACTGACAATATACAAGAAGAGCAGTCGCACAGACTGTGCTAACCACAAGGGAATTTAGCCTAACGATTTAAGTGGCAAAATTATAGACCTCAATTTACGTTCGTCGCCTCACTGTGGTAGGTGATTTCCGGATAAAGTAGGAGCAGGCAGATTTCCGCTCAGAACGGTGCTGTATAGACCACATATTAGCTTTACACGCAGAACGACAACAGCTGTGTTCCTTGATTTCAAGAGTGTCTCTGATTCAGTCAATCGATGCATTTTATTCGAAATACTTGCGCGGAAAGGTGTTCCCAGGAAACATGGGAACATTTAAAGTGAGCTATACTCGAACACGAGACGTCGCATCAGGGTCTACGGTGACCTGTCGGATATTTTCCCGACAACAAGTGGCGTTCGTCGGAGCTGCCCAATTTTCCCATTTTTGTTCAACTTCGTCATCGACCCCTTGCGGAATCTCATGATGCACGAGTTGAAGTGTTGCCGCAGGAAACGCTAGTTGATCTTGTTTGTACAGATATTGCCCTACTCTTAAACAATATCGGGACGTCCCAATCAAGCAGGAATAACCTCTCTAGAGTGATCCCATTATTTGTTATGCGCTTCGTGCCTTCAAAGTGCAAAGTGTTGTTACAAAACCACCAGCAAGTTGATGATCCCCTGGCCCTAGAAAGCGAAGAAGTCGAGGTAGTTGATCAGTTCACTTACTTTGGCAGCCGCAATAGCAACGATGGGCGCAAAGCAACTGAAGTCACTTCGCATAGTACAAAAGCCAGAACTGCGTTCCTGTATCTGAGACATCTTTGGCATCAGAAAGGAGTTTCTCTCCTCTGAAAGGCCACGTGTACAAGGCCGCAGTGAGGACCGTCATATTCTATGCGTGAGAGTTGACTCCTTCTATCTGAGGACCCGCGGCGTAGCGCTGCAGGTGTTGGGTAATATTAGCGCGTCCGCAACGATGATGTGCATGGGCGATGGCTTGGCAATGCTACACAAACTAGTTCCTTAGAACAACAGACAGCACTCTAAGTTGCGTTGGCTTGGGCATGTACTACGTGTGCCTGGTCACCGCTCACCTAGGAGCGTCTGGTTTTGTTTGCCAGATATTGGGTGGCGTAAAACTCGAGGTGGACAGAAGTTGACTTAGCAGTGAGAAATGAAGTCATTGACGACCAAACTGGGTGCCATTTGACCGTTACGTTTTCTGGGCTGGAGTCCACGTTTCCCGCTATGTGCCTGGCTAGAGACTTTACAGGACATAGCTCGCAGTCGGCACCAGTGGCGCATCTGCTGCCGTCTCCTAGTCGGATTGCCTGTTTAAAGTGTGTTTGGTGCTGAATTATCTGTTGGCAATAACTGATTATGACGCGGGGCAGTGAAAGCCGCAAGGAAGCTGTCTCGCCAATGCCGCCATATCTTTGCACGATAGCCAGCTGTTTGTTATGATATGTTATTGACAAGGTGTAGGCACCTTAACCCTGAACATTTGCTTAGGGCGTTAAGGTTTTCAGGTAAGTCCTGTTACTTCTTCTCATATTATTCTGCGTTCGGTAGGTCATGGTGCTTTTACGGCAGCGAAGCATTAGTTCAAATGGTTGATGTACTGCTGTAGCTTATGGTTGTGTGTACGCCAGTTATTCTCAGAGGTATGTGTAACGCTTGTGCCAAGATTCAGTGATTCGATGAATGAGGACATGAGTCAGCCTATGGTCTTAACGAAGTATGGTGTACTATAAAGCAAAAAAGGCATCGGCAGTACGTCGGCACCCGTCATCGACGCCAAGGTTGCCCTTTTTCACCTTTCCTCGTCAATTTCGCCATCGAAGATGTCGTCCAAAGAGCACTGGAAAGTGTCAAGTACTGTGGTGTTGAGCTCCTCCATGGAGACAGAGACACGAGTTGGACTACGCCGATGATATCGGCTCGCTGAGGGACGACTCACAAATGTCCAGAGCGCTTTGGACCACTTAACGATGGATGCCTCTATGTATGGCTTACGCTTCACTCCAGTAAAATGCAAAACGCTGCTCCAGGACTGGTAGGCGCCTGAACCCGCGCTCACCATTGCTGCACATGTTTTGGAGCAAGTCTTTTGCTTTACTTATCTACGGAGTTGCATCACGGCTGGTGGCGGTGTTGGCGACGAAGCCTCACAACGGAGTGCAAAGGCCCGCCTTGCAGTCATAAAACTGAGACACCTATGGCGTCGTCGAGATGTCAGTCTCAAGCTCCAGGGTAGGGTCTACAATGCGTCCGTCTGTACAGTACTCTTGTACGGCTGTGAGACGGCCTATTCGCTCGGAAGAGATGAAGCGGCTATCGGTCTTCGACAATCGCTGTTTACGAAGGATTGCTCGGGTGTGTTGGCAACACAACGTAAGAAACGCAGAGGTCCGAGACCGATTGCTTGGAATGAGTAGCACCAGTCTTCGGAACGCTACTCTCCGACATCGCATGCGTTGGTTCCGGCACGTTTTGAGCATGTCAGCCCATCGGCTTCCACGTAGAGCGCTATTTGCACTCCCAGGGAGTAAGTGGAAAAAGTGTCGCGGTGTACAGCAAATGACATGGAGAAGGAGCATGAAAAGGCAAGCTGAAATTTGGCGACAGTTGGACCAGTCTGTCCTCCACGTTGGGGGCCACGAGATGCTGAATCTCAGTGGTTGGAAACATTGGATGTCATGGCCCGCAACAGACATCAGTGGCGTCAATGTTGTTCTGCCATTTTATCCACCCTTTAATTCACACAAAAACTCACGAAACAAAAACAAAAAGGCAAAATGGCGTGTGTAAAACCAAAAAAATCGGTTTCCTTTTTTATCGCATTTCGTGTTTCCAGCTTCTCCATTTTTTCTTCTGCCATGGTTCTGATGGTACAATGTCTGTTAACAGACTGTGAATATATATACGTATACTCGAGCAACGCTAGTCGAGCGTGGGCTGTGTGTACTGCGAGGCCACCGGCACTTATGCGGATTCGAGCCGGTAACCTCTGGATTAAAATATAGAGGTCTTACACTTTCGGTGACCGGTCAAATTTGATAGATACAACACATGACAAGGAGAGCGAACGAGATATCAGCGGAAGCATCCGAAGATGGTAGACGAATACAATCACGCTCCATCATCATAGAAGATGGAAGCAAGCTCAGACTTGGTTTTGAAACGAAGTATGACAAATAGCGCGTCAGTCGCTTAACTAGAAGGAAACTCGGAGTACACGAATTGACTGAGGTTTAAATCAAGCTACATGTCAAATTGAATTCATGAATGAATCGCACGATTTCTCATCTTTACGTCCGAACGATAACGATCAGGGGAAGAATGTGCGAGTTAATGGCACCAATTCCAGTCTCGAGAAAACGGCATAAATGCTAGCTAAAAGTGTTAAAGAAGGGCCATTAGGAATACACACTCAACTGGCTCCCATTAGTGAAAACTGACTAACGAGAATAATGTGATCGAAGGTACATGACAAAGAGAAGATGCGAAATGAACGCATGCAAAGGAGTGCACACCAAAAAGGCAGAAGAGTGCGAAGTGGCATGCATTCCCCTTGTGTGAAGCGGCTACGACCACCCAGTGCGGATTCCAGGACCGTAAGTGGTACCTAGAAGCAGTGGTCGTTGATGTCCGAACCACAGTCTAATAAGATGTGAGCGAAGCGCATGACGCGTGGTCATGTATTGGATCACCTGAGAAGGGAAACTAGTGGAACAATGGCAGTCGAGAACTCACCGTAACCCGATCACGGCGTCTTTAGCACGGGTGGCCAAACGGCCACCACCTAGCATGGACTGGAGGAGCGCAGACTTGAATAGCGGGGCGGTCGCATTTCCATCAACGGTGGATGGCACATCCGAGTTGACGGACAGAGATAAGGCTGATTTTACCGGGCTGTTCGGTACTGAAGTAGGCCTGTTGGGAGATGGCTGGTGGAAGGCATGAAGTGAAGAATTGCCGCCGGATGCAATTCCGGCGCCCATGCCGTTACAATCCGCAAAATCGGGCTTTGGATCGACGGAATTGAATTCACCCTACACACAAGAAAATGGTAATGAACGAGAAGCAATAGCGGTATAATCAAGGAAGTGTTTTTAGCTCAACATGATAGCAATGAACTTACGTGGCCATTTGGAAGGCCATTCCGTTCCACAGGCAAGCTGAAAATGACGGGTGAGTCGTTTTGTTGCTCCTTCTCTGTCGACGGAATGCATTGATCTTCAGTCCTACCGACGGAACCGTGAGACTCAAGGGGCGGTGTGTCAACAGACTGTTCAAAATCTTGCGGACAAGTGACAGAATGATGTAGGAGCACTGGATTAGATGCATCATCCTTGGTTACCGCCACTGTGTTTGGTTCGCCATTTTCACACCCTTGCAAGAGTGGAGAGGCAGAGATGCTAGTAGGCGGGGGATCGGATGTCTTTCCATTGGCAGTAGGGAGCTTGACGCGAGACATGATACTATCAAGCCGTTTTTTACGCATGATGCGTTCCTCTTCAGCTCGTTGCAATTTGGCCAGGCGTTCGGCCTCTGCTGCCCGAAGCTGTACAGAGAAACGGAAGTAGAGTAAATTCCTGCCACCTATGAACAAATGGTTGGGACTAGAAATCTACCAGTATGAGCACATTACAAGAAACAGTACGCAGGTGATAATAGCGCTCGCCGTGATTCGAGACAACTGAGCAAAATCCTGGTTTACTCACTAGCATGATGTAACAGAAGCCACAGAAGAAACATTCCGGATTCTTGATGTGAATGGGCACTAACTCTAACACAGTGACGCAAGTCAGATGATGTCAGCATGTGTATTCCCATCAAGTGAGACAGTGTGAGTGAATTCCACCCAATTAGAAGAGGATAGACGGGTTAACAGCACTCAGCAAGGCAACATATGGTAAACATCGGCGTGGAACCCAGGAATCGTTGATCGATAGTCTTCCAAGACAACGGTTAATGTCGCTAAGTACATGAGTCGTCCGGATGCACTCGATATGAACCTGATTTAGCATGTGCCTTTGGAACCCAGCTCCCCAGGATCAGTGGTCTTAGCTACTGCATTGTAATAGCAGAGTGGAGGATCCTAGCACCATGAGAACGGCCCCGAAAAAACGAAATCGCAGTGCAGTTTTCTCAGGTACCGATGCCCACCTAGCTGAGTACAGATGTTATAGATTTCATCCATGAAAAGCAGTAATCTGCTACTCGACCGGTGAGTGCAGCATCAGTGGTCACGCAAAGGAGAATGACAACAAATGGGACTGGAAAAGAAAATGTGCAAACCCGAGCTTTTTCTTCTTCGTCACGGAGGCGTCGAGCCTCTGCCTCCTCTTGGGCCAACCTTTCAGCTTGCTCCAACGCTGCTTGCTCGGTGGCCAAACGCTCGGCTTCCTGTTGCGACTTCCGCCGTCGTTGCTCCTCTTCCAGGCGTCTGTTTTATGGAAAGATGAACAAGGCGATGCATGTTGATGTTGCGGAGTTGGCGAAAGAAGTGAAGGACGGAATCAGGAATGTTTATTCTATGACGCCCGGTCGAGGGTGCAGACATAAATGAAAAGAAACGCTTGTTAACGCTTAACTTCTGCATGGGCTCAGTGACAAACAGGATGCGTCTATTTAATGGTTCTGAGCAACATCGTGCATGAACAAGATCGAATAAACAAGAGGACAAGAACCAAAGCACGCACAGTGACTGGGGCCATTACGTTAGGGTCACAGTAAAGAAGGGTAGCGACTAAACCGTGAATGGGGTGCGCAGGGTCCACCCAGAGAAGTGGCAACAATAGCAGAACAGCATCCATTTTAACTGACGCCTTGATGCCGTGCAACCGCAATGACTTATGGAATGAGGAAAAATAGGGAAAAACGGGGACTTCATGCAAAACCTTAATATACTAAGCAAACTTTCAGGGTCAAGGCGAATATACCTTGTCAAGAACAAACCACAAATAACTGGCTATCGTGCAAAAATAAGGCGGCATCGGCGATACAGCTTCTTTGCGACTTTTACTACTCTCCGAGTCATAATCAACCATTATCCCGCAGATAACTCAGCACAAGACACACTTTAAACACACAGTCCGACCACGAGACGGCAGGAGACGTGCCAAACACAAGGTAAGTCACGTGGACTCCAGCCCGGAATGCGAGACGGACGGACGCACCGAATCTGATTGTCAATGACTTCATTTTCCGCTGCTAAGTTAAGTTTTGTACACCTCGGGCCTTATAACAAACAGGGTTCTCCTCAGTAAGCAGTGACCGGGCATAGTAGTACGTAGTAGTAGTGAACGCAACTTATTCAGTGCTATCTGATGCTCTAAGGAACTAGCATGATTATCACTGCTTAGCACTCGCCTACGCACATCATCGTTGCGGACATGCTGGTGCCGTCCGACACCGGGAATGTGGAGATCAAAGACTTGAAGGCGCCTCAGATCCCCCAAGCGGAACGAGCTCAGTATCACGCCCATAGAGTAGGACGGCCCTCATTATGGCCTTGCGAACAGTCGTTCAGACCCAGGGAAACCCCCTTCTAATCCCACGGATGTCGAAGATTAAGGATGGTTTTATCTTCCGCGATAACTGGCCTAACTTCGGCAGACATACGTTCTTCGCTGCCAATGCAGCTGCGAAAGTAAGTGAACCGATCAACTACTTCTAGTCCCTCGTCACCCTGAATCAAAAAGTAATCAAGTGGCTGTTGTACCTGAAATAACACTGAAGGTGTGAAGCGCATACCAGATAATGGAACCACTCCAGAGTCTATTTAGAGCTGATTAAGCGAACTCGCGATTGTTAAAAAGAAAGACGACTTTGTCCACATACTCCCATTCAACCAACTTTCCACTACGCAGAATTGCAATGCAAACATCGTGAGATCCAGTAAGAGAGGATTCAATGATGGAACCCACGACGAAATTGAACAAAAATGAGGAAAATGGACAATTCTGATGAACATCACTTGTTATCGGAAAGATATCCGACAAGTCACCGTACACTGACACGACCAGTGGTGCGTGAGTACAGGATACGAAGAATGTTCACATATTTCGTGGGAATACCCTTCGACACAAGTAGTGCGAACAGAATGGATCAATCGACTGAGTCGAAGGCAATATTGAAATCCAGGAGCACAGCTATCAGCGGTCTGCGGTACGTGCAACGCTGCTCTAGCAATTGACGCAAAATGAACATGGGGTCTATACACCCCGTGCTGGGTGGACACATGCATGCTTTCTCTAATCCGGTATACCCGTTCCTCAGTAACAACGAACATGAGTTGAGATAAGTACCTTTGTCACTACCGGCGCCAAGCTGATGCCACAGACTTCATCGAACAGGTGGATCAGTGTTGTTGCAGAGGACCTCATCACCATCCTTAGATTGTAGGCTTAACGGAATCCGGACAAACAATTCGAAAAACATGGAGAGCTGTGACTAGGTCTCGGAAATCTGCCTCTGATGGAGTATCTAAATTAACCGGACATGACGCAACCTGTACTACTTGAGTAGAAAGATGTCCAGAAGATGTGGGCCAACTAAAGTGCTCTTGAATGTGCCCCGCCCAAAGAGCCAGACGGCGTTCCCTATCGTGACTTGGTGGAGCGACGCTGCCCTCGAGTGTCCCACTGAGAGTATTGGTGCGGATCGGCCAGGAAAGTGCAATAAGTGCTCACCGCTCCGGCCTCCTCTATTTCATGAGACTATCTGGTCCATCAGGCATCCTTGTCAGTACACAGGCTCCGTTGCAGCTCGCCCCTAATGGTCCATCGGGTCCAATTGTGATCAGAGCCAGTAGGAGTTTTTCTTCCAGATTCCAACAAGCCCACAGAAATCTCTGATACCCAGTGATTAGAGATAACCGATGACACCGCCGCATGCAGACGCTCCAGCGTTGCACATAGCTGCTGAGATACTACTACTTAACCTCGATATCTTTTGGGTAAGTAGGTGAAAGCTTGGTGCTCAGGGCATCCTGGAAGTTTTGCTTGACTGAGCGTTGAGATAGGTTCTTAGTTGTCACTCGAGGAAGAAGCTTGATACGCCTTGAGGCGAAATTCATGGAAAAACGGTAACGCATTAAGGCATGATCAGTCTATGCAAATGTTCAAAAAAGAGCGACAGTCCAAGAGGGAACCACGCCATCAGGAAGTTAAGGAGATATGGTTTACTTGAATCTATCGAAGGAAGTCAAGTGGCAGATTGGTGGCCACTGTGCATTGCTAACAAAACAGCCGATGCTCAGTGCACAGCAGTAACAAACCTCCGACACAATCCGTGTGTTCCGAGTTGAGTCGAAACTTACCACCTAGCTGAATCTCTGAGCAGTTCACATGATCCGTTTGCGCATTTATATCCCCTGCAACAAAAATGGTATCCCCGAACCAACAGCCCCACGAAGCAACGTGTTAAACGCTTCGAGATTGTAGTCGGTGGAGTTATAAGAGTAATAACAAATCAGTACGCAGACCAAACTGCTTATAATGTCATAGGTTAATTGGCGGCTTAAGTTTGGTACGTTCGTCGCTTGGTGAGGGGGCTACCCTGTCCTCTGCACGGTAATAACGTGCAAGTCAGCGGATAGTGGGCGGCGCTATATCACATCTAGTAACTTATTCACGATGGTCGTTGCCGTCCCCCGTAGCTCAGTGGTCTCAACCACGGACTGGCAACAGTCGAGATGCGGGTTCGAGCCCTACCAGGGGTCCGATGGAATACGCACTGCTGACGTTTCCAGAAAGGATGAAACGCGTGTGATGGCTGTTTGCGTGAGTCTAGATGTGACGAATTTCTACCTATACCATTCAGCTCCCCCTACTCTGTAATAACAAATCAACGATGTCTACTGCTGCTTCCTACACTAACCTTGGTTGATATTGCCAAACGGGCTGCACACAAACGGCTGTTCACCGGTATCCGATCGGGCGGCATTGGAGCTGAGAACGATGCACACCCAAGCTTCGCCTGTGGTTTTTGCATCAGCATCGTCGGGTGCGTGCAATCAGTAGCGAGAGGACAAGCTGGTGTGTAGCTAGTTCAACAACTCCGTGAAATCAATGATTCAAGTTTCGGGCACACAGCACATGTTGACAATCAGTGTGTCCAATGTGCAACCTGCTGACCTATCCGTCACAGATTACAAACACTGAACACCGAGAGAGAAACAGGACATCAAGGAGCTGTCGAAGATATGAGAGTTCAAAGGTGCTACCGGAATGTATCTGCTCATGGCAGCGCTCCAATGGTACTGTAGCTACCGTCAGTTAAGCTGGGGAGGTAGAAGGTACATTAGAAATGGGAGTAGGAAGGAGAGGGAAACAGGTGAAAAAGCAAAGGGAGGCGCCCACATTAGCATGTTTTCGCCTATCCGAACTGCGCGACGACTGATGCATGATGTGGTTGATATTTGAGGAACTAGTCATGGTTGTACGTGGGCGATATACTTTCAGGGCACCCAGACCTAGACAATAGAACGATTCGAGTCCTCAGACAAAGTTTTGGGATCAAAAGCCTAACTGCAAGGCAATCCAGCTTTACGAAAACGGATACCATCCCATTTCTAACGCCCATCATGGAAGACCAGGAGACTGAGTTCGTCCAACCTCTACCAACTGGATAAGAGTAGCACTCAAGTGGCCTAGGGGTACCCCCAGTACACCTCAATGTAACAGAGATGTACGCAAACCGTCAGACCATGTTGAGGTAGAGTTGCGTCGCAAAGCAATATCTGAAAGAAACTAGGAGTACTAAAGAGCAAAATGAAATAACAAGGGACAATGGGTTGGGACGAAAAGAGGAGAGGAATAACCGAGATGAAAACAGTGACCGGGAGTGGCCACATATAGCCCCACAAACGCACTCATAGATGCGTAGAAGAAACAGAAAAGACCCACGATGTCCAGCTTAAGGTGAGGGTATAAGTCGAGTGTAGTCACCAACGCAGACAAAAAGGGCAAATGGGTAGTAGCATGGTGTCAATGCTTCCAATAGTTGAAGAACGATGTGAACGAAGGGAATGACGGCCCCCAAAAAGAGCGATAGTACACAGACAAAAGACCATGTCTGAGAAAAAATTCGACAGCGAAGAACACTGGCTCGGCACCAACAGCTGAGTGGAAACAAAATGTCAGGTGCACAATGAAGCCGATAATCGTGCAGTGCAAATATTGGCCTCTGAACAGAACATAACATACAAAGGTGGCTGTGCAAAGCACAACAAATCAAGTGCACTAATTATCGAGCGCAGGAAAAAGGAAATTTATGAGTTTCAATTAAAATCAGGACCAGTTACCATACGACCGATCGCCAACTGCTGTGATAGGTTGCTTGTTAGATGGACCCAGATGCGGTGAGAGTGGATCGATCACTGCCGTTGGAAGTATTTTCGTGTGCAATTGATGGCTTGTTTGGAGAGCCAACTGTGCGCAT